TAGGACTTCCAGAGCATCATCAAAGTTGACAGAGATGACTGTGGAAATGCAAAGCTGCAGCAACTAAAGAATGACATCAGATTATTGAGTGTGGGCAGCTTGAAGAATTAGGAAAACAGAGGGAGAGTTTGAAAAAGAAATTGCACATGAAAAGTAGCTCATTTTGTAGAGAGCATAAGCAGTAAGTGGAAGAGACAGAAGCACATTTAAGAGCAAATACGAATAAGTTATTGGTAATGAGGGAAGGTTGGGGAAAGCAAATGAATTTTTTGCTTGCTGGTCTTAAGGGAGTATGTTGACAGATGCCTGGAACCCACATAAATTTCCCTAGGGAAGAAAAAGTACTAAAGAAAAAAAATGAGATTGGTTTATAGCAGGTGATCCAAAAATGAGTGCAGTTGATAAGAAACACAAGTGTACCATCAGCTGGGACCTGTGGACTTAATGCTAGCAATGGAGCAGCTATATAAAGCAATTGTTGGAAAGCTGTGCTGTATAGGAAGAGTAGTGGTTTGTCTCAATGCGTCTAACTGGCTTGAAATACAACAAAATAGAGAAACAGAGCGTTTTTGGGATAGAAAGGATCTTTGCAATGAGTAGGTAGATAAAAAACTGAGACTGGACCAAAGAACATGAGCCATCGGCCCAGATAACAGCAGAGATAGGACCAAGCAGAACTTGGGAGTAGCATGTAGTAACTCCTCTCTTCTTGAAGCTTCATTATACCTTTGCTTTGTAATGTCTCAGGTTCAGCTGTAAATGTTGTCTTTATCTCGGTGAATGAGTAGTGAATTAAGAACTGGTGTAAAGGGAGGCCCTATTAGGAACAAAATTGCCTGGGCAAAGTAGAAAGCAAAGTGAAGCCCATGGGGGTTTGTGTAAGAATTCATCTAATGTGAAGAATTCTGCAGAAGAGGCAGAACTGTAATTGGGAAGACAGGAAAGAAGAATCTAGGAATAGTCATTATCTTCATTCTTGTTCTCAAACCATTATATATGGCATTTCATCTTCAAACCTTTTGCAAACTTTAATTAAGTGTCACATGCAGTTACAATCTCAATTGCATGCATGGTCTGGAAAAGTAGGGTATTGAACTTTGGTGAGACATGGGAGAAATATATTAGAATTCTCCAGTTCTGAGACATCATGGACATATGTTCTGTTTGGAAGCGACCCTCTTCTTTGTACATTAAAAAACAAAAGCCTTGTTATGATAAGGCTCCCTAACCCAACTATTAACACTCCATAGTTACAGATAAAGAAATAGACTAAATATGATAAATTTAGAGTTATTGCATCTGAGGTTACAGGAAAGAAACATTTAGCATTTTTGAGGTTCACTTTAAATGCAACATTTAAAAATGAATCTATTCCAAATGTAAATTGCAATACCTGTTTTTCCCCCTTGAGACTTTCCTATTTGTCATGTAAGAGCACATTTTGACTTTTTTAAATGAAAGTTTTATTTTATTTTAAAATTTATTTATTTATTTTTAGAGAGATGGAGAGAAACATCAATGTGTGATTACATCTCATGTGCCCCCTACCTCGGACCTGGCCCACAAGTCAGGCATGTATGTGCCTTACACTAGGAATCGAACTGGTGACCCTTGGTTTGCAGGCTGGAGCTCAATCCACTGGGCCACTCCAGCTAGGCGTGATTTTTTAAAAGTCACTATTTTAGTGTAAATCAATTCATCATAATTAAAATATAGCAGGAAAGGAGCAAAAAAACAGTACTTGCACACCCCACACCTAAGGATAGATGAGACTTGACAAGGCAGAAGCATGATAGGAAACGTCTTTTACATTTAAAAATTTCTTTATTCACTTATGCATAAATAAAGTAGTCAATTTCTGCTCTTAAGGACCATGCGTTAAAATATTCTTGCTTTTAGAGCTAGCTCCACGTAGCACCTGTATTTTCTGGAGCAGTTCATTGATGGAAGAAATGACACGTTCATCCTTGTAATGAAGCCCCATTAACCAGAGTCCTTTTGTAAGGGTGTAATTTCAAACTTCATTACAGACTGAGGCAGCCACACCACCATTACTCAGGAAAATGTGCTTCTGTTGTGACTCTCCAATGAGCCTTACATTTTTAATGCACCTTGTTAGAATATTTATGAAACAGTGTCACCAGTAGAGGGCATCTGTCTTTGAGACATGTGGGTCACAAGGATATTACCTGGCAGGGTGTCACTTCCCTCATTTCAGACTTTAGAAAAAAGTCAAAGGGACATGCCATTGTCTGAAATTCCTTCTGACATCTACTTCTTATTACCAGTGAGGTACAGGAACGCTGTGGGCTCGTGTTTCAGGAGTTTTATTTTTCTTTTCATCGCGGTAAAGTCTGAGTATGAAGGTAGCCAGTTGAATTCCACAATAATGAGCATACACTGTGCTTCCTTTTATTTTTTTAATTAATTAATTTTCTTAAAGATTGTATTTATGTTTAGAGGGGGAAATGGAGGGAGAAAGAAAGGGAGAGAAACATCAGTGTGTGGTTGCCTGTTGTGCACCCCATACTGGGGACCTGACCTGCAACCCAGGCATGTGCCCTAGACTGGGAATCACACTGGCAACCCTTTGGTTCGCAGGCTAGCACTGAATCCATGGAGCTACACCAGCCAGGGCTGCTTCCTTTTAAGTGTCTGTCCCCTCGGAAAAGTATGTTTGCCAAAGTAAGGCCTCAGCCTTGCTCAGGGGCTTCACCTCTCAAAAATATTTAAAAATGCTAATTTCCTGAGTTTACAAAAAAATTAACATTATAAAGTTTAGTCCTGCCTATGACTATGCAGCGATTTAGTTCAGAATGGAAGCCTCCGCAGTTAGGAGGCCTGGGTTTTATGTCCGTCCCCAGGCAATTTGAGGTGTGGGTTCCAGTGGAAGAGGAGATACTTCCCTACTGACTGTGTCTCTCTAACTTCAAACCCCTGGGTCCTGAGAGTGGCCAGGACTGCTTCCCCACCAGGCTCTCACATAATGCAGAAAGGATCGTTTGAGGTATAAGTTCTGGCTGTGAAAATACGTTAGGTATGATTATGTATACACACCCATAGCATTTTCAAATGGCAGTGTTTCAAAGCATAGTTAATAATTATGATCTCAAGTAGTTTACCTGCTCTTATTTTTCTTCAGATACTTCTAACATTAAGATCTGTGGCAGCACATATTGAACTTTAATTTTCCCTGTACCTGCCATGAGAACCAGAACTGTGTTCTTGAATCTGTGAAACTTGCCGTGACTGCATCCTGCTCATTTTCAGAGAGCCTGTTAGAAATGAAAGCTTTAGCAAGGACATATATACAGTTCAAAAGCTTGAAGTGTGTTACAGATAATTTTTCACTTAACACAATTTCTCTTTAATCTAGAGGAGCTTAAATGATTTCTTCCTCACAATCTACTGTTCTTTTTAACTTGAATTTGTCTTACATTATCTCTGTTATCTGTGAAATGAATATTTGCCCCCATCTACTGATTTGCATTTATAAGCAAATCCGTGAATCCACGCCACAGTCAATACGAAGTGCTGTCACAGGGCAACCAAAAGATATCTGTTCAGTGAGAAAATACCTCTTCCCTTCATTTCTATTCTGAAGCATCTGTGCTCACATGGTCACAGTTCTGGGATGATTACCTTGCAGTTTGGAGCGTCTCTCCCACACCCTGGGAGTCCCAGTGTGTGAAATGAACACGCTGGAGCAGTTTCCTGAAGGATTTACATAAATTAAAAGTTAAATATTCAAACAACAGGTGTTTAATTTTTGCAAGGCATGCTTGTAGTTTCACAGCATTGTTGCAGTGCATCCCAGACAGTGTCTGCATGTTAATCAAGCACTTGCTTCTCCTCTTTCCTACGGCACCTCACCCTTGGTACTGAAAAGATGGTATCGCGGAGTCCAAAACTTCTTCAGTGTGGTCCCTGGGTGGGTTTCCTTAGGTCCATGTGGTACACTTATGTACAGAATGGGTTGCTATTACTTAAAATTGAAAGAGTCAGTTTAAAAATTCAGATTTGTAGGTAATCTTTTAAAAAATAAGGTTTGGTAACATTGTCTTATGATCTCACTCGGTGGGTGCCTATGCTCCCAGTTCCATCCTGCTACGGATTTTGCCCTGGATGTCCTGGTCCCTCATTTACATGTCCTGCCTGGCCTTGGCCACCTGTGTGGTCACCCCTCACTCCCTCTTCAGCCTGGGAGCAGCCGTAGCTGGAGGAGTGCTCTGTGCCTGCTCAGCTGCTAATGCATGATGACACCATGGTTAATTTTTCACACTTCCAGTTCTCTATCTTCAAAAATGGGAATTATGTTTGGCAACTATTATCCATGAAAATCTTGACAATTAGTAACATTTTTAAAGAGTATTTTAACATAAAAGTATTTATTGCTGTCTTGGTTAACATGTTTTAAGAAACTTTTGTTTTATGATTTAAGATTGTATAGGAGACATTATGGTTTTCTTTAATCTAAACTTGAATATGTTACATGTCAAGTGGATACCAGACTTACTGGGGGAACCGCTTTGTAAATTACATAAATGTCTAACCACTATGCTTTACCCCTGACATTAATATAATATTGGATGTCAACTGTGATTGAATAATAAAAATATTCTTAAAAACCTTAAATATATTTTAAGTGATTTTTTTGTTTGACACATTGTCTTCCAGGAAAATTTTAAGCCAAAGATAGAAGTCTGAAAGTAACTAATTATATGCTTACATATTTATGTATAAAAATTATAATGTATATGTATACATCAGTGTATATATGTAGGTGTATACTTATGGATATATTAACCCGTTTAACACATTCTTAGCTTTGAGTGATGATAATGAAATTGCTTTTTAAGATAACTTTTCACTTCTTAATAACTTCTGAATAACTTACTTGCTAATTTCTTAATGTCATGTGAAAGCCACTTCAGGATGAACCGAAAAACAAAGCGCCGCATGGTGCACACTAACTTGAGACGAATGGTCCTTCTTTTCAGAATACGGCAGGAGAACGACATGGTCGATTCAGCGCCTCAGTGGGAAGCTGTATTGAGGAGACAAAAGGAAAAAACCCAGGCTGACCCCAACAACAGGCGATCCAGACACAGATCTCGCTCGTATGTGGACTCTTTTTATACCTTGATTCAAAAACACTGAGCTTGAAGTAGCATGTGGATTCTAGGGCAGACTGGGCTGTCTCTTTGAAGCCTTCCAATGTGAGTGAGTTCAGCCGTGATTATCCTGTCGTTTATCTGTCATACTTACCTTCTTATGTTTGCGACATTCATTAACTATGTCTGAAACTGTAGAAGTTGGAGCACAGTCAAACCAAAATGTCATCCAAAAAAACCAAGCCTATCAAAATTGTGTTTTGGTTTATTAACAAAAGCATACATTCAACTGGAAAAGTAGGAATAGTTTCCTTTGTTCTGGAGCCCTTGTTGGTGAAATACCTGCTGCTCCTGTCAGTTGGAGTCTGCAGAATTCTCTCAAGTCTTGTTCCAGGTTGAATGAGATGTGAATATCTTCCCATCAAATTACCATTTGTGAGCAGCAGTCAGGGAGTGATTCATTACACCCTAATGTTGGGATTTGCCTGCTCTTTCTGTTGCTAGGCAATGCTACATGTGAGCACAATTACCCCATAACAATAAGGTTACCAGTCCCCCAAATTAATTTCCTTCTGAGCTGACAAAGTTTATGTGAGTTTTTTTAAATGCATGCATTGTCCAGATTTAGACTCTTCACTCCCAACCCCATTTCCCAAAGCCTGCCTTCTTAAAGTGAGCTGGTAGTAACTACCCATCCCTTTGTGGCCCTGGGTAGTTAGGTGTGTGGCATTGCTTACTAGTGGAAGGAAGGATTAGAGTCTCAGACAGGGCCGAGGCAGGGTGCTGGAGAGTGGAGTTAGAGACAAGCTGTAGGTAGGTGGGAGCTCTGAGGGAGCCAAGCAGAAGGGTTCCAGCTCAGGTTAACAGAGGCCAGAGGGGCACTTCGCAGGGTGTACTCCAGAACCCTGCGTGGCTCCAAGGGATGCTTCTGTCTTAGATGCTTACTTTTTAATTATAAGTATTTTTTTATCTGTAGTGCCACAGAAGGAGTGATAGCTGTTTCTTTTGTGATAGGAAATTTGCAAGTACGCGAAGCAGTGTATAGTAGGTTTTCACTTAATATTGTCAATAGGTTCTGTGACTTTAAGCAAAACAATGTTTAACTGACCAATTTTTTCGTAGGCTAATTGATATAAAGAGTCGAGTTCCTACAGCACCTCATCAACATTATAAGGAGTGGGTGTTATTTGGAGACCTGCTGTATACTCTTATAGATTTATTCATTACTCCACAATGTTTTTGTTCTGAAACCTGTTTAAAACGTTCAATTTAAAGCAGAAGTTTAAAAGCCTCCTTTGTCCTGTGTACTATCTCTTTGCAACTCCATTAAAAAAGAGAGGCTTAGATCTGGACCAGTCATGAGCTCACTGAAGACAGTCTAACAAAAAGGCACAGAAACCCAAGATCAACTCTCAGCACAGTCATGGGTGAATCGATGGTAACCATGTGGAATCTTCTATGTGGGACTTGTAACACAACGTTTCATGACTTCATAGTAAATCTTAAAATAACATTTAGTTTTTCTAAACATTTCTAAAGCACTCTAAATTTAATTAAATACAGATAACAAATCTCATGTATTAAAAAGGGAAAAGGAAAATAAAATTAGGAAAAATTCTATAGATAGATTTTTAAGAAGCCAAAATACATTACTAGAAGCAATACTAAATAAGTGAAACTATATAAATAAAATTGATAAGCCAAATAATCCAATATTGTTAAGTATTATAGTTACTATAATGTAGTTGTATTATAGGGCAAATACTGGATTGGCCAAAAGGGTCATTTGTTTTTTTCAGTAAGATGGCTCTAATAGCGCTTAGTTGTCTTTAACTTCATTTGAAACAATTTTGTTGGATTGTATTGTGACAGCTGTCATATCAGTGTGACCAAAATGGGTGAATTTTTGTGTGCCATTTTAATATTGAAGATGGAAGAAAATCAGAAAATTTTCAGCTTATTATGCTTTAGTATTTCAAGAAAGGTAAAAACTCAGCTGAAATGCAGAAAAAGAATTTGTGCAGTGTATGGAGAAGGTGCTCTGACTGAACATGTCAAAAGTGGTTTGTGAAGTTTCATGCCAGAGATTTCTCACTGGCTGGGGCTTTATGGTCAAGTAGACCAGTTGAAGTTGATAGCAGTCAGATCAGGAACAATTAGTATTTTACCATGTGAAAGACAACTGACATACTCAAAATATCCAAATCAATAAAGTTATTGGTGAAAATGAAAACTGTCTTTATTTTACAGAAAAAATGGAAAAAAACTAAACGGACCTTTTGGCCAACCCAATATTTGTAAATGGGCCTGGTAATTTAATCATTTTAATGGAGTGACCTGAGATTTATTTAGCAGCCTAAGGAATAAACATTTTTTTAACTGACAGTAATTTGAGGTGAAATTTATATACAATGAAATGTTCTCATCTTAAATGTACAATTCAATGAATTTTGACAAATGTTAACAGAGTGTATCCATCATGCCAATCAAAATATAGAATAAAAGCGTTCCCTCATGTTCCTTCTAGTCATGGGGATGCTCCATAGGCGACCACTGTCCTGGTTTTCACCACTAGAGATTAGTGTTTCTCTCCTACTGAACCTCATATATATGCAATTATGTAATATGTGCTCTTTTAAAATCTGGCTTTTTTCACTCAACATATTTTTGCATGTTGTGTCTGTCAGTGCTTATTTAAAATTTTTGATTAATAATCCATTGTATGGATATACTACAATTTGTTTATTCATTCTCCTCTTGAAAGACATTTGGAATGTTTCCAGTTTTGCTGTTGTGTTAAAAGCTGGTGTAGACATTCCTTACAAGGGTATCTGTGGAGTATGTCATATTTTACCTTGGGTAAATACCTGGGAGTGGAATTGCTGGGTTAGAAAATATTTGCATATTTAATTTTATAAGAAACTACCAAAATGATTTCCAAAAATTTTATATCCCAACTAGCAATGTATGAGAGTTCCAGTTGTGCCCTATTTGCCAATATTTGGTTTTGTCTGTCTTGTTAATTTTAGCTAGTCTGATAAGTTTGAAGTGGTATTGTATTGTGGTTTTAATTACAGTTTTTCTGATGACTAATTATGTTAAACACATTTTCCTGTGCTTGTTGCTTGTTCATAAGTCTTAATTTTTATTGTGTCTTTTCAAGTTTTTGCACATTTTTAGTTGGGTTTTCTTTTTTAAATTATATTTTATTGATTATGCTATTACAGTTGTCCTGATTTTTCCCCATTTGTTGCCCTCCACCCAGCACCCCACTCCTTCAGGCAATCCTCCCAACATTGCTCATGTCCGTGGGTCATGTGTGTAACTTCTTTGGCTACTGAATTTCCTGTACTGTACTTTATATCCATGTGACTATTCTGTAACTACCTATTTGTACTTCTTAATCCCCTCACCTCTTTACCCATTCTCCCCCACTGCCTTCCCATCTGGCAAACATCAAAATGCTCTCCTTATCCATGATTCTATCTCTGTTCTTGTTTGCTTAGTTTGTTTTTTAGATTCAATTGTTGATATATTTGTACTTATTGCCATTTTATTGTTCATAGTTTTGATCTTTTTCTTAAATAAGTCCCTTTAACCTTTCATATAATAATGACTTGGTGATGATGAACTCCTTTAGTTTTTTTTTGTTTGTTTGTTTGTTTTTTGGTCTGGGAAGCTCTTTATTTGCACTTTGATTCTAAATGATATCTTTGCTGGGTAGAGCAGTCTTGGCTTTAGGTCTCTGCTTTTCATGACTTTGAATATTTCTTGCCAGTCCCTTCTGGCCTGCAAAGTTTAGGGAAACCAGCTGACAGTCCTATGGAAACTCCTCTCTCAGTAACTAACTTCTTTTCTCTTGATGCTTTTAAGATTCTCTTTATCGTTAACCCTTGGCATTTTAATTATGATGTGTCTTCGTGTGGGCCTCTTTGCATCCGTCTTACTTGGAACTCTGTGCTTCCTGGACTTGCATGTCTATTTCCTTCACCAAACTAGGGAGTTTTCCTTCACTATTTTTTCAAATAGATTTTCAATTTCTTGCTCTTTCTGTTCTCCTTCTGACACCCATATGATGCAAATGTTGAAATGCTTGAAGTTGTCCCAGCGGCTGTTTGCACTATCCTCATTTTTTTGGACTCTTTTTTCTTTTTGTTCTGATTGGTTGTTTCATTGGTTCCTTATGTTTCAAATCATTGATTTGATTCTTGTCTTTATCCACTCTACTGTTGTTTCCCTATAAATTGTCCTTTATTTCAATTAGTGAATTCTTTGTTTCTGACTGGGTCTTTTTAATGCAGTCCAAGTCCTCACAAAGTTCCTTGAGCATCCTTATAACCAGTGTTTTGAACTCTGCATTTGATAGATTGCTTATGTCCATTTTGTTTAGCTCTTTTTCTGAAATTTTGATCTGTTCTTTCATTTGGGCCATATTTCTTTGTCTCCTTATTTTGGTAGCCTCCCTGTGTTTATTTCTACGCGTTAGGTAGAGCTGCTTTGACTCCATGGCTTAATGTAATAGGTGTCCTGTAGGGTTCTTGGCACAGCCTTCCCTGTCATCCAAGCTGGGTATTCTAGGTACATTCCTCATGTCAGCTGAGTATACTGTCCTCTTGTAGTTGAGCCTTGATTGCTGTTGGCAGATCAATTGGAGGCATTTACCCATGCCAGTCAACTGCAAGGACTGGCTGTGACCACTGACCACCAACGTCAGCCCTCCATGGAGGATCAGCGGTGCAGGGTCAGAATGGTAGTGCTCTGACATGGTTTGTAACTGTCCACTGTGTTCACTGGCCCTGGTATTTCCTGGGTAGTGCAGGCCAAGATCACCCCCCGGCCCCGTGTTTTGCCTGGGGTCACCCTGCCTGGGCTATGAAGCAATCTGAGACGGCTGCTACCTGCACTGGGCTTGGAGATTCCCAGGTGAAGCCAAGCTGTGAATCTAAGCTGGCTGCTGCTAGTGCCTGGCTTGGGCTTCACTGAAGCCAGCTGTTGCTTTTTTGATA